GTTAGGGTCTAAGGGTTGTAAGGATGTTTTTGATTGCACACGCACGACTGACACGTCCTGTTTGAGCCGTTTGAGCCCGTGGGTGGTGGGTTGGGGTGGTTCGGTGGGTGGTTCGTTGGGATGGGTGGTGGGGTTTACTAGTGGGCGGGGGTGGGGTGTGGATTGAATGAAAAAGAGGTCTGGGTGGGCTTTCCTGCCACAAGTCCATGCCGAAACGGTTTTCGTAAACCCTTATAGGATGATCTGCAAGATCCTTGTCGGCTTTAGCCTAGAAGTGGGAATGGGACAATCGGTGATATCAGGAGAGAAAAGTTCTCGCCTAGGAACACAATGACACCGCACCAACTTGTTTCCCTTGATCTCCCATCGATCTCGGGATGCACCAAGCGTCGCAGCAGGCCTTGAACTAGATGACCCACCACCCGCTCGATCGGCACCTTCATGATATTCCCTAGCGATCTTCGATGCTTCCTCCGCTATCGCCTTATCTTTCTGGTTCTTGGACAAGTTGACCCATATGTGAGAAGGAATGCTATCCGGCTTCTTTGAACCTCTGGACCCTCCATATCTCCTACCAAGAGTTCCACCGGAGTCGTAGAAGCGTCCGCCTTCGGGCAAATCAACGAGATCACCTGATTTGGGATCGATAACTTTAGGTACTTCTACTTCAGCCTCACCGTCCCCAGGAGGATTTACGACTGGTTCCGCATCCTGATTTCTCAGAGATTCAACGACAGGCTTCTCAATGGCGTCATGCGCTAGCCCATCTCGGACACGGTTATAACGGTCGATCATGGGGAAAGTGAACTCACCGTCAGGCACTTTCAATTGATGCACCTTGATAGGCTTATGGTACTCGTAGAAGTCACTTCCGTTCAGCTTAGATATCGGAATTACCAACATCTCTTCTCGCCAACGCATTCCTGGTTGGAAGTGATATCCCATGAAGATCCCATGTTCTGATGAACTCTCAAACCTTTCATACCCTTGCAGCTTCCGCTGTTCACGAGTACCGACCCAGTAGTCTACTCGGCAACCAAATGGAATTAATGGCCCATGAAAGTCCTTGCCGAACCGCAAAGTCCATGAAGAGTACTTCGTACCATTGGGATGGCTTATGTTATGAGCAACACAAGCATGTTGTAAGGCATGAGGCCAATAAGCATGAGCCAGACCAGCTTGCTCCAGATTCGCTCTGGTGCCTTCCGTAACAGTCCTGATCGCACGCTCAGCCATGGCATTGGACTGATGGATATAGGCCTTAGAATGTTCATGCTTCCAGCTCATTTCTTCTACTGCCGCATTGATTTCAGGAGCATTGTCACTGTAGAAGATGCCAACATCTTCCTTGTTAGCAACAAAATGGTTGAGCGCCTTGTAGCACTCGTCCTGAGACTTCCGTCCGGAGGGATAGGCCGCGAGGAAACCTGTTGCCACGTCCTTCATAACCAAAGCTAATCGCGAATCCTTAATCTCTTCTTCGTTGTCGCGATAGACAATGAGATGATCCCCAGTGAGATGGTCGCCGAATTTCTCAGACTCAATGAACCTGGAACCATTCGTTTGATACGAAGGCGGCTTGAACATCTTCGCTCTTTGGCATGTAGGGCAAAAGGGATTCTTTGGGACGTGAGTCATCAGATGATGTTTGCTCTTAGCTTCTTCACGTAAAACCTTCTCTCCTTTAGAACGCTTGTCTGCCTCAGCGGGAACAGGACGAGGAGGTGGCTGATCCTCGGCACTTTTCAACTCCCCGGCTTCATCGAAATGCTCCTCAATATCAAAAAGATCAGACATGTCTGCACCCTTCTCACTCGGGCTCAGGCTTCCGCCCGGCATCAGGCTTGCTGGGCTTAGACTTAGCCTTACTCTTCATCAAGGGAGGAGCTGGTTCAGGAACCTTATCTTTCTCGGCCTTCTTCTTCTTCACGAAGTCGTAAAGTGTGAGCTCTTCATCGCTGTCGCCGGTAATCAACGATGGAACAAATGGTAACCGTCTTGATGAATTCAACTGAAACCCAAGCGACATTAACGACTTTGACTGTTCCCAGCTCAAACCATCTACATCCCGAATCGTGTATGCAGTGATGGTCCATCGATCACCTGTCCAAGGCTGTGCCTGATGCCAAAGCTTGGGGTGGAAGGATAACATTCGATCATGAGTGTCGTATACTCTTCCGTTGACTTCAAGTGCCCCTTTAACCTTGACGCACTTTGATTTCCCACCAGCTACACCTTCTCCGCGAAATACGGGGAAGTCATCCTTCTGCTCAACCCATACGGAACCACCTTGATAGCTTCCAACGCCTAGAGTGTGATTGAGTGAGTTATCATGATTCAACAAATCTCGATGCACACGGCGATTGCCACCATGGTTGATGCAGATAGACGTAAAGGTATCTTTCAACCCTCTTGACTTCATGAAGGCGATCAGGCACTTGATCAGCTGAGCATGACGATCAACAGAATTTGTGATCCCGGTCATCCCGCTGAAAATCCAAGCGCCAATGATTATGTAGTCCCTGCCAACTTCATCTTCAACCGAGTCGTCGTTCTCAGTAGCTTTCTCCTCGAGTTCCCTGTTGGCTTGAATGGTGTCAATTTCAAAAGTTTGTAACATGATCCCAGACGAAAGTCGCCGTTGATCCGAAGTTCCCTTGCATATCCCTCAGCCTCTTCAAGCGAAAGAACCAGATCATTCTTGTGATCCTCTTTGGGCTGGGGCTTCCGCCTCGCAGGTACCGCCACACCTTCCTTCCAAGATTTGAGGTAGGGGACGTAATCCTTCACATCCATGTATATCCGCTCACCGCTAGATGACTGAAAGTAAGGTCTTGTACCCGATCTCCAAACGAAATCGAACCCCTCCTCCATGCATCTGTAACCAACGGATAGAACAGAAGGTGTGCTAGGCAACACATATGGATGGCTGTCAATTCCCAATGAAGGAACTGCGATGTTAGACTGAATTTCAGCAGTGCTTGGCCCATTAGCCGTCACAATACCGATAGGGTTTTGGGAACGATGGCTTCTCAAAGATCCGAGATCCCCCTGTGATACCAGGTCCTGAGCGCTGCCGGTATCCGCGATCCACTCGATGTCGAGCTGCTGGGCTTCTGCTTTGGTTGCTGCAACACAGGTAGCTTCAATGTGTTTCGGAATGCACTTGTCGCAACCGAATTCCGTGTCACATTCATAACCGCATTTAGCCCTTATCCCGGAACCATATGCATCCAGAGTTGCTTTAAGCATCCTGGCAGTCGTCAGTGCGTCTTTGACATCCTGTTGACTGGGTCTAGGAGGTTCCCCACCGAAGGACTTCAAGTACCTTCGTGTCTCGGGTTCGGTCGGCAACATCTTTCCGTCAGGCGGGATGTTGATGAGCATCGGATTATCGTCGAAACGAATGGCTGGCAACGCACATGAAAAGGTAGATGACATGTCACCACGACTATCGGGCATATCCTTCCGGAATGCATAAGCAGCGTCGGCTTGGGTACCCGATGCCGCGGCGATCAATGCCCCTAGGATGCAGACTGCAGCGGGAACCTTTGGTGGCTTAGGGCCCTTTCGCTTGTCCGAACCCTTGCTGCCCTTAGAGTTCTTCGACCCTTGAGAGCCCTTCGAGTTGGACCGCGACTTACGATGGCCTTTCTTGTCTTTCCCTTTGCTGCCTGCGCTTCCTGGTCTTCCCCCCTGAGAGCCGCCTTGTGACGTCGCAGCAGCGCTTGGCTTGCCTGTATGGAGGAACGTGCATGCACTTCCTTTCTTGCATCGCCCACTCTTCCAGAACTTGCATTCTCTGGGCTTTCCGTCATTGTTGTTGCCGGATGGTGAACGAGTGCGGCCTCCACCTCTTGAATGCGACCGGCCTCTCTTCTCAGGGACCTCATGCTTGTACTTGCACTTGTCTCCTTTGCTACACTTACCACTCTGTACGAACTCAAAACAAAATCCCTTAGGGACAAACTTCTTCTTGGGAGCGGGGGCGGATGGTTTCCCATCAGCACCATATTGCTTGGCAATCCGTTCCCGGTTGCGTTCAAGACGCTTGCGACTCAAGTAATTCGTAGCCGCATCATACAAAAATTTGTAGGTCTTCTCTGGCTGCCCTGGTGTAGCCCTTTCATAAATGTTGATGTCATGTGCGAGGTCTTTGAAGCGCTTAATCTGCCTATGGAACAAGGGCTCAAGGAAGTTCTCATCGGGGGTAGTCTGGATCCCTGACAATACAGTTTCCCAGTTGTGCATGAACGTCTCAAGCTTCTCGTTAACCATCTTGACTGACAAGAGATCTTCGAACTCGTAAACCGAACCATGCTGTGCGTTGGTAGAAAAGAAGTTATCCAACCGAACAAGTCTTCCGGCATTCGCCTCTCGCTCCTTGAAGGTATCAACCTGTCTCGCAAAAGCACCTTCCAGGATGTTAGTGACCGCCGACAGTACCTTAGCATCCAAGGTGACGAACCCTTCCGGGTCGCGAAGATCATCTTCCTTAACATCCTTCTCCCAAACCTTGGAAAGCCACGAAAAGGCATCATCAGGACGATCAGACGCGGCAACAACCGCTTCACGAACCCTTAGCCTCCAATTCCTGTAGCTTTCCGGTTGCGGGAACTTGGGGAAGGTAATCTTCTCAGCTTCTTTCACCTTGGGCTTGTCGTTTTTATCGGGCTTTTCACCACGATCACCAAAGGCTTCACTCATCCGCTTAAGGAGCTTCTTCATTGTCTTCTTATCAATGCGGGATGAGGAAGAACTCGAATCATCAGAGCTACTGCTAGAGCTAGATGGGGAGGATGAAGGATCTCGCCTACGTCGCCTGCGCGACTTCTTCTTCTTATGCTTCTTATCCTTCTTGGACTTCCGACTGCGACGATCATGATCATCATCGCCTCCACTGGGGCCGTTGCCATCAGGCCCGCCGCCACCACCGCCACCTGGGCTGGAACCATCCGGAGGGGTTCGCCTTCCGTCCGTCGCCTGTTCCGTAGGAGTGTCACCTCCATGCTTCGGAGTGGAAATGGGGTGTACGGGAATGCCAGGTGGAGGCCCTTGTGGAATTCCCTCTTGAATCTTCAAAGCAGCATCTCTAGCTTCGAAATCTCGAACCCTGGAGCTTAATGCGTTATTCTGATGAATCAATACCTCAGTCTGCTGGCGCTGGGCATGAAGCTGCCTCATCAGTTCATCCATCCGAGATGACATGTCAGCGACCTCATGGGATCGCATCGCATCATTCTGACGGGCAGAAGTTTCCACTTCGCGAAGGCGCCTGGCATTGCTGTTGGCTTCCTCTAAAGCTCTACGGGCAGCTTCCGCTTGCCGGTTGGCTTCAAGGACAGCGAGTTCCCTCGCGCTTTCGGTTTGCTGGAAACGAGCTTCACCTTGACCCATTTCAGACCTCTGAATCGACAACGCAATGTTAGCATCCACTATTGTACATTGCACGGAGCTGCTCCTGATGTTCTGCTCCCAATTCGCCGATAATCTGATTGTGTCGTGCCTCGGCGGCAAAGGCGACCATCGGAGATGTGTCCTGATTAATCGTCAACTGCCTGGCATCGACAACCTGAAGGTTCTGGGTGAGGTTTGCTTGATGAAGGTGAGGTGAATAAATTGGTGTTGATGGGCTGGGCACGCCCGTAGCATGTGCCAATGGTCCAGGTATTCCTACCGGAATAACAGGTGCAATAGATCCTGGCGTAGTAGGGACACGTTCTCTAAGCAACGAATCAATTGGAGAGTACGCTGCATCATGTGACACAATTGCCAGTCCGTCATTCGGCAAATGACTATCACCTGTTGGCATTAATGGAGGAAATCCTTGATCACTTGCTTCATCAGTTGCCAATGTCATATCTGAGATACCCGTTGGCACTGGCTCGGCTGTGTCCTCCATTCCGGTATGACCTGCAGGATTTCAGGAGCGACCTGGAAAAGGATATGGCTGGACTAGGCTACGGCTGATAACCTATAGATAGTGCACGATAGCACGAATCGCACACACGCTTTTTGTCTTGAGCCAATGCAACAATATGTCCGTAGTCATACGTACAAAGAGCAATAAAACATCTAGAAAGTAGATCCCCTAATTTGGAGCCCTATACTACTAAGGGTACTTTATAGGAGCCCCCATTAAGGGATCGACTTTTTGGATCCTCCCGGGGCTTGGGTACATGTCCGTTCTCCATGTCCCCAGACCGTTAACTCATAAAAGCCCTAAACCACCAACCCTAAACCTTCCTGTAAATGTGGGGCATTTACTTGAGCAATGCTGCGCTCCGCTTAATCGTAGTGCCAAAAAGCCGGCAGAATGAGTATGACTCAGGCAAGTAAGATTGTGCCTCCTGAACAGGTTGACTGCTTCTATCGAACTGAACAACAACCTCCGAAACCTAAGCTTAGCATATTTTACTCGCAACACGTCAATGAACCGCAAAGGAAAACAAATCCAGTACTTCGCTTTCCTCTTGGTCTCCGGTGCTCCCACTTTGCAACACTCCTGCAAACCTAAACCTTACACTCATAGTTAGACTCCAACATGCCTTGATTAGGGAATATACCATAAACTATACTAGGGCGTCCTACCATAATTTACGGTATACATTCCTTACTCAAAGATCCCTGAATTAGGGAATATACAAAAAATCATATCAAGGGTCCTCCTATAATTCATAAGTTAAGGTATATACTCCTTACTCAAAATGATACCGGAGTCTCTGGGAACCCATAGCTGCAGTCCAGGCGCTATGTAGCTTTCCTGGAAGACCCTCGTCGTACCGCAAGAAGCGAATGACGCCAGACTGGGATCCTGCCGAGGATTGCTGGGGTGGCTCTCAAGGCAAAACCCAAATTTAAAAAAAAAAGAAACTTAAGCCCTGAACCCGCAACCCCCGAACCCTGAAGCTACAGGGGACCCTGACCTTCAAAATCTTACATTAAACCCAGACGAAACCTGCAAATGGGAGTTGTAAGGACCCCAAAATGAGGGGCCCCTAATTTTCAGCAACTCCCAATAAAACCCCGGGCCTCCTACAACTGCCCACTGCGGCAGCGTGTGGAACCACGAGAGTCCCAGTATGGGGAACTGATCTACAACCTTCGCAGGAGGAAGAGACGTTTCGGGTTTACGGTTAGGGTTTAGGGTTTAGGGTTTCGGGTTTAGAGGTCAGGCTTTGGGGGCTTGAGGGATCAAGAAGGGCTTTTGGGGCTTGAAGGGTTTCAGGGTGCTTCGGGGGTTTAGGCCGTTTGGAGGGTTCGGGTTTGGGCGGCTCTTTTTGAGTTTAAGCGTTTAGGAACTTCAGGGGTTTGGGTTTAGAGTTTAGCTTCGGGATGAGCCATGCAAGAACTGTGTAATGCAGGAACCTGATTAAGCAACCCTGTGCCTTTATCAGGGTTCCGTATATGAATCCTCCTACTTGGGGGTTATAGGCCCTGGGTTTCTTAATCAGGTTCCTACATTAAGACGTGAAGCCTGGCCAGTCTGAAATGCTGATTAGTATAGGGGCCTTAATCATTAGAAGGGGGCGCATACACCATATTTACAATAAGGAACCACAAAAAGTAGTTTTGATAATTATTAAGGCCCTTATGTTAAATCCTTATAATAGAGCCCTTATAGTAGGCCGTAGAGGTGCCTGCTTGAGCCTTATCACTCATATAGGGGCCTTATAAAAATACAACAGGGTTTTGGAGTATTGTATACTATAGTAAAGGTAGTTATTTAAAGGTAGTTATTTAAACCCCTATATATATATATATATATATATATATATATATATATATATTATGCTGCTGATTCTTTCGGTCACCTCCTGGGCCCGCTCCGAGCTCCAGGCACAGCTGTGGCTCATGACGTCGGAGTCGTAGTTGATGATCCCTGCGGTGCCTGGTTTAGGGTTTAGGGCTTAGGGTTTAGGGCTCAGAGTTTAGGGTTTAGGGCTTGGGGTTTAAGGTTTATGGCTTAGGGTTTAGGGTTGAGGGCTTAGGGTTTAGCGCTTAGGGTTCAGGGTTTAGGGGTTCGGAGGGGTTTGGTTTGCTGCAAAACGAGCATCTAAAGATTCGGCTGTCGGGCTTCAGCACGCAGTGGACAGTTTGCTGCTGAACCGCGTGTCACGCATTCGCCTGTTATATACCCGACAATGCTACTTCCCAATCTATGAATCACCTTTACCACTTGGACCAAGGCTCCGCTACGGCTGCTGGACCGTACCGCTCCAAACCCAACTGCCCGAAGAAATGACAAGCCCGGAGTGCTGCATCTGCAACGAGCAGAACAGAAATTTCCAGCCGCACACGAGGGAGTGTGTCCCAGTGAAAGACTTTAATGCACGGGCCTGAGTTTATACTTAGAAGAGGGTTTCGGAAGTATGTTGTCATTGTGTCATCAAAAGATAGTATAAGCAGGAAACTACAGGAATAGCCCCTTCCATTGCCAATCAATTCCGAGGCGCCATCTTTCCTGCCGACCAACATTGTCCCAGGGCGCAAGGGGTGAAACCTCAGCAGGCCACACCCTAACCATAAATCCTACTTGGGGGTCCATGGGACTTAGTAAGTCCAGTTATAAGTACCCTAACTGGGGTTATATCCAATAATGAGTATAGTTACCTTGTTTATAACCATAGCTACAAAGTCCCATGAACCTTTGAAGTACACCTCAAACCCAAAACTCTCAACCGGGTCCAAAGCCTCCCGGCTTCTGAACACGATGATTCAAGACTCATTTCAATAACCTTCCTGGTTTCTGACACTCCCCAATCCCAAGCCCTCCTTCCTAAACCCTAAACCCTCATCCCTAAACGCAAATCCTTAAACCCTAGCCCATGAACCTGAAACCCTGACATCTCTTAACTCTCCCTCCGAGAATCTAAGCGCACCACTCAAACTGTCGGGCTCCTCGGCTGGTCAGCAGCAAGCGGCGCGAGTGAGCGACCTGGATCAAGGCCGGCTTCAGTCAGCATAGAGCAAACGTCGAAAGAGTAGCATCTGCGTAGTTAGTATATTATATAGTTTACATTAATTAGATCGGTATATGATGGTATATGACAGTATATGATGGTGTAAGTCTTGTAGTGTATCATGCTATATCATGGTAGCAGTGATTCAAGTCGGAAGGCTGGGATAGAGATTTCTGGGAAGCTTACACCCCGCCAGAAGCTGAGAGTTGATCGGTCGCGACAGCAGCTTCTCAAAAGCACAGACCTACTCAAAACTCCAGACACCTCGCCACTTGGCTCCTCCAACTTGCGCCGCCGTCCTCACATGAGAGTAGCGACAAAAACAGAACATTAATATTTGTTGTAGCAATAGTAACAACCCCAATCATAAGATGACGACGACGACTACTGCTGCTACCAATAAGAAGAAGACAGTAATTACAAATACCTATAAAAGAGAGCCTCAATAATTAGAATAGGGTTTTGGGCCCCATGATACTATAGTTATAATAAGGAACCCCCCGCAATAGTATTGGTAATTATTTAAGCCCCTATAGTACTATAGTAGATATGTCCACTACGCAGCATGCATCTCAGTGAGCAAATCGACACATCTGCCCGTGAACGGGAGCCACTTTAACCTGCAGGTTCAGGAGTACCTTGACCTGTAAGCTACTTTTCTGCAGAGGCCCAGCAAAAAAACTTCTGCATATAGTTTTGTAGGTCACGCAAAGCTGATGGAGCTGCTGCTGTGCATATGAGCCCTCGGTGTACTTGAACTTCAGGCACTCATCATTCGTGCTGCAAACTCGCGAAGCCATGCCGCACTCACAAGTGGAGGCATCGAAAGGTTACCGGGGATTGGATTTTGGATTCAAACTTTTTAGGTGCAGAGTTTGGCTGTGGACAGGCTGTTGCGGTTGTTCATAAAGAACCTAAACTTCTTTCCGAATGGAGCACGATCCTGAAGACGACGGTGAGGAGCGGCAGTAGGTTGAGGACCTGTCAAGCTACGAATTGCCAAACGCAAACATGCAACGGCTTCTTCAAACTGACAGAGGCGCGCAACATGCACTGCCTTCGGATAACCGGATGACCTTACCGTTACACTGAGCCTTGTAGGAACCCTCAGTGTTGCCCTTCTCGTATCCCTTATGGTAACCCTCTCATACTGTTGATGATATAAAACCTGCATTACCTTAAGGACCCTAAACTATGGAAATTTTGGATATTTCCTTATTCTGGGTAATGCAGGATTTATATCATCAACCGTACCTTGTAGGAACCCGTACAGTAAATCTCCGAAGTCATGCTTTCGCCTCGAAAGAGGTCCGGACAGCGCTAGCTCCTGAAGAGAAACGTTGGCTTAGGGTCATAGGGTTTAGGGTAGTCCGGGAAAGTTCGTGCTTTTGCGGTTGAGGAGCGACATGTCCACTTTTTCGAGA